AATTTGACACAATTTTTGATTAATATTACTATTTGAAGATGCAAAGATGAAGTTGGTTTTGCGATTTATCATGGTCAAAAAAAAAAAAAAAAAAAAGTTTGGTATTTGAACAAAAAAAAAGGCTACATCATGGTATTCAATAAGTGATTCTCCGAATAGGGTAATAACAAATTACCTTATACATTTGTCTACTATAAAAAAAGATGAAACAGAAATTGATCATCTCGATTTTTCATAAGAATAACGCCACTAAGACTTTTTGAAACATTTTATTAAAAACTTGGAGTCATAATTTATTATTGTCTGTTTTTAAAAACACGAAGAGTTCAATCTTTTGAACAGAAACGGCGGTTAATATCCTTCAAGAAAACTTTGCCTAAACTCATCGTAGGTTATCACTCTCCAAGATTTTTCTATAATAGATACACAGACTGTTTATTGTATTCACGTCACATAGTTACACAATTAAAATAAATTACAACATTACACAAAGAGAAAATTGAGCTCAAAAAGATTTGTTTTTATAAGACTTATTGAGTAGCGTTGTCAGCGCGCTTTAGATGATTTTGGCATTAGACGGCACCAAATTCTCCATAAAATATTAGATAAATGTTTCAAGAGAAACCTGAAATACATAACATTTGGTACATCGATGCTAGAGATTAACACACAGTAAAACTTCAACAGGCTACTCAAAAAAGAATTTGTTGTATTTAGAAAGTTTTTGAAGAATTTGACGCCATCAAAGTTCAAAATTGCCTAAAGCGCACTAAAAGTGCTATTTAATAAGTCTCATAGAGAAAAATATTTTTGAATTCAAAAAAGTTTTGGTTGCAGTGTATTATTGTTAATATTTTACATATGTAACCGGGTTTGTCTGAAGATCCCAGATAACACTGGTTACAATTGTTTATTGTCACTGATACTTGATATTGAAATATAAATTATTTCGATTGCATGAATTTCTTAAACAGATTTATATTTGTTAATGGTCAGTGGATTTTTGATAATGATCCCTCTGAAAAGATTGTTTTTACACAGCAGAGGCTGTATGTTTGAATCTCATGAGATAATTTAAATTTTTGTGATTTAAATTTAAAAAAATGCTACAAAGTCAGCTTACTTGGATTTAATAAAATTTTGTGTAGAGATTTAAAGACATCGTTAGTTATTTTATAGTAAGAGGTTGATAAAAAAAGCCTTTAAATATAGTTAGGCAGCAAGACTACGCATAGAAAGCGAGTTTCATACTAATGATATTTGAAAAGCTACGAAGACTTTTTTAGTTATTAATAATTTTCTACCTGATTAAGAACGTTCTAACTAGTATCACTTCTTACAACTAACTTATGATACTTGATATTGTTTGATTATTGTTTCCGGTGGTCTTTTCAGGGTTTATAGCCAATTATATCTCTTGATTTCATTTATTTAATTGTGTTAGTTTGGTCCTCGTCAGAAACTATGTGATGTAAAGAGAATAAACAAACTTTCTATCTAGTCAATTGGCTGGGCAAAATACATTTATTCATATCTATCAATAATACTAACATTTTAAAGTTATTAGATCATATTGAGACTATAGAAACACATGTAGCGTTGTTAGCTTTTACCTACCAACTTTTGAGTGATTGCTGGCAGTAAAATTACTTGACACTGTTAAGAAGCTATTCTAATTGTATACTACAATACCATATTTTTCATATATTTATAAAAAAATAAAACGACCTCGGTGAGGGTTGAACTCACGATCTTGCGATTAACAGTCGCACGCCTTAACCAACTTGGCCACGAAGTCATAAAGTTATTTTTGAGACAAAACAAGCCCATTTTGAGTAACGAGTGGCTGGCATAGCGAGCCACACGTCGAGGAGATAGAACAAGAGGAAGCGATTGGTCAGTAGTAATATAGAATAGCATAAATATTCAAATATAAATAACACAAATAACATAAAAACATAAATAATTGAATAAGAGGTGACGGTGATAGTCAAGACGACGACATGACAAGTAAAAGAGTAAGAATCTCAGTAACAGATATCCGAAAATAACAGAAAGTCCTTGAAAGACGACGGTATGAGAACCGTAAAAACAGTGAAGTTACTGGCTTAAGGATTAGTAGATAATTGATTGATTTATTAAAAACAAAATCATAAAAGAAACTACAATCTCTGTTATCATTCCAGCAGGTGTTATGTATCCCAGGTTTCCCTTATCACATGTATTATTTCATAGAGAATTCGGCGCCATCAAATGCCTGAAACACCTAAAGCGCGCTGAGAACGCTAGTTTTAAAGTCTCATAGAGACAAATGTTTAGATAGATAGAAAATCTGTTTATTGTCCTTACATCACATAGTTACATAATTAAATAATAATAACAACGATATACAAAGAAGACATGGAATTCAAAAAACATTTGTCTCTATGAGACTTTAAAATTAGCGTTCTCAGCGCGCTTTAGGTGTTTCAGACATTCGATGGCGCCGAATTCTCCATGAAATAATACATGTGATAAGGGAAACCTGGGATACATAACACCTGCTGGAATGATAACAGAGATTGACACACAGTAAAACCTTAACAAGCTGCTCTAATCAAGCAAACCATCAGCAAAGAAGTTGCGGTAATGAGTTCAAGAACTTGACTACCGCTCCAAGACCCTTCTTGGTATCAAGCAGGACTCTTAGATCAAGTTCCGGGGAAACTTTACTTAAGAAGCTACGCTCCACAGGATGTAGAGGGCACTCCTTAAGAAC